ATTTCCACTCAGCCAGCCTTCCTGTGGTTCTGGGTGATGTCCGTCCTGTCTTTTAGTTGTATTTTTGAAGTGGTTGTTCGAGGCAGCAAACTCCGGCGTTAACCTATGCCGCCATCTTGGTTTCTCATGAATATCTTCTTATAAAAACATTTAATATCATAGTTGAAGCCATTCTCTTTTGATTGTAGCAATGTGTTTTATATCTTTCCAGAACTATATCCAAGAAGTTTCATCCATATATAATAGTGTTTTGAGTGTGCTTCTGTGGTTAGTATAACTGATTTATTCATTCTTGGACATCATTCCATGCAAGTTCATATAAATATACATTATGCTTTTTTGTTGTTGTTAATCCTCACTGGAGGATATTTTTTCCATTGATATTTTTAGAGAGTGGAAGGAAGGGGGGGAGAGAGAGAGAGAGAGAGAGAAACATTGATGTGAAACACATTGATGTGCCTCCCACACACGCCCCATTGGACCAGGGATCAAACCTGAAACCCAGCTACATGCTCTTGATTGGGAATCAAGCCTGCGACCCTTTGGCATGAGGGCTGATGCTCTAACCACTGAGCACACCAGCCAGGACTACATTATGCTTTTTAATGATGCCACATCTTTCCTATGTAAAAGCAAAAAAGACAATTCAAAGGGAGTCTCATGTTCACAAGAAAACTTTTGAGATCTGATACTGCACAATATTTTATGTACTTTACGACACATTTTAACCCCTCTGAAATTGGGATATAACTTTAATTTAGTGCCATCCTAAACTTGATAAAATACAGTGTAAGAAACCCTTAACTTCCAGTCCTCTATCTTTATATTATCTTTACATACAACACCAATACTTCTAAAAACCTTTCCTAGATCATTTATATCAGTTTATTTATCTTCATAATATTCCTCCAAGGAAAGCTAGGAACAGTTATCAGAAGCCTTATTTTATAATTACAGAAACAAAAATATTTTTTTTCATTGTTAAAACTATAAGTGACAGACATCAAGCCAAAAGTTATTATAAAAGCTGACTCATTTTCCCTGTATGGAAAGTCCTGGGTTGGAATCCCAGCTCTGCTGCTTTCCTTGCCGAGTTACTGTTAATTAGAACATCCATACACAAGAAGTTCCTGCCTGGCTGGCTCAGAGCAGCTGCTCAATGAAGAGTGGCTGTAATTATTAATATTAATATTATTTGTGCCCACTTTTCCTCTATATTTATAATAAGTACAGCTTAGAGTTTCTGATTTTTAAAAAATTGTTTACTCAATACCAGAATAGGTTGGAAAATGTCTTCTGGACCATTATAGACTTGATTGTGTTCTCATTTGACACCCATCACTATCAGCATGTTCTTAAGTTTTGTGTCAGCAAGCAAAACAAGGTCTGTGCCCTCTTGGAATTTACAGCCCAAAACGATCGCCTGGTCAGGCAGCTCTGAGACCGTCATGGAAGCAGTCCTGAGCCAGTGTGGCCGTCCTTGCCTTGCTTGGAGGTCAAAGGTCGGGAAGAGCTATTTATACCCATAAACTTGGTGAGGCCCTTAAGTAAACAAATATTTACTTGAGGGTGGGGGAAAAGTAGGTTTACAACTGTGAGTATGCAAAACACAGAGTTTGTTCTTGTATTATTATTTAATGTTTATTGTATTATTTCCATGTGGACAACTGTAGACCTTTTGCCCACCCTATATATGCTTAAATATTAGAAAGTTCATGTTATACTTACATGCAGAAGCAGCACCCAGGGAGTAGTCACCCTGTAGATTTAAAAAGCTACAGGAGCCCCGGCTGGTGTGGCTCAGTTGGTTGGGCGCCATCCCCATGCACCAAAAGGTTGCTGTGTCAGTTCCCCATCTGGGCACATGCCCAGGTTGTAGGCTCGATCCTGGTTGGGGCACGTGTAGGAGGCAGCCAATCGATGTTTCCTCTCTCTCCCTCTCCCTTCCTCTCTCTCTAAAAATCAATTTAAAAATTTTTTTGAAGAAAAGCTATAGTATAGTTGTCTGTCTGGTTTCATTAAATGATCAAGTTTTCCCCTTCATGACTATCTAAAATAGTTCAGATTTTATACTTAATAAGAATTTAAAGATTAATATACTTAATGTCACCTGGTGTTATTTCTTGTTTATCTTCTCAGAGATATATATATATACATGCACACCTATATGTATATCTGGGTTTTAATTTTAAAAATGGTGATTTACTGTGCTCAACTGTATGCATCCTGCCTTTTCATTTAACATCGTATCTTGGATATTGTTCAAAATGAGTTTGTAAAGATGGTATCAATCTTTTGTATGGCTGCATTGTATTTTATCACTCAGGTTAAGTTCATTTGTGAAACAATATCCTGTTAGGCATTCTGGTTGTTTCGAGCCTTGTCACTGTTACAAACAACGCTACAGGGAGTGACTGTACATGCAGACCGTGTTCCACTTGTCACTGTTACAAACACGCTACAGGGGAGTGACTGTACATGCAGACTGTGTTCCACTTGTCACTGTTACAGGGAGTGACTGTACATGCAGACTGTGTTCCACTTGTCACTGTTACAGGGAGTGACTGTACATGCAGACTGTGTTCCACTTGTCACTGTTACAGGGAGTGACTGTACATGCAGACTGTGTTCCACTTGTCACTGTTACAGGGAGTGACTGTACATGCAGACTGTGTTCCACTTGTCACTGTTACAGGGAGTGACTGTACATGCAGACTGTGTTCCACTTGTCACTGTTACAGGGAGTGACTGTACATGCAGACTGTGTTCCACTTGTCACTGTTACAGGGAGTGACTGTACATGCAGACCATGTTCCACTTGTCACTATTACAAACAACGCTACAAGGAGTGACTGTACATGCAGACTGTGTTCCACTTGTCACTGTTACAAACAACACTACAGGGAGTGACTGTACATGCAGACCACGCTCCACACGTGCAAGCTCATCTTCCCAAGCTCCTGGGAGTGGAGATGCTGACTCGGGGCAGGTGCTGCTCTCCTTTGGCAGAAATTGCTAAAATGCCCTCATTACTCAGTGCACCAGGGGAGATACCTGCCGCCAGTGTCTGGAGTAGCGGCTTCTCCACAGCTTTGCCGACGCCGTGGATGACTGAGCCTTCCTGACTCCTGTTTAATCCTTTGTCTTCACTTTGCCCTCACAGAGGTCAGCAGAACTGGCTGCAGTTAGATCACCGGGTTCTGGACCATGATTTGCCCAAGAAACCAGGCCCAGCCATTTTGCACTTTGCTGTGAGGTATGTATCCCCAGACACACCTAGCACCCCCACCTCCCTTCAAAAAAGAAAGAATGCTGGTAGCCAGAGATCGAGAATTAAAAAAGAAACCATCTACTAAAATATTACTCGTCTGGGGGCCGCGTTACCGTAAGTACTGGGTAGGACGGTTTTCTTTGAAAATGGAGGATAGCATCACCTCCCTGTACTACTCAAAACACCTTGGATCAATTTAAAGCTGGAAAAATATAGGTAGTGCATTTTGATACCTAAACCTGTTTCTGATTTAACATGCTTTAGGACTTTTTGTATTTGAAATATGACAAACATTTACTATTACATTTTCTGTAGAAGTGTTTTCTAGAGACTGTGGAAATAATTGAATGTATATAATTTCACGCCTTTAACTTGAACAGAAGATAAAATGCAAACCAATGCTCGCTGAGAGAATGGTCTGCACAGCGTGGAAACCTGAACTCAGCTGCAGGCCGGCGGCTGCGAGGGCGCCGAGCCCTGGCCTGGCCGCTCTGCGTGGGCAAGTCGCGCAGTCACGGGTGGGGCTCTGCTATTTCTTCCTGACGTGGATGCATTCGCTAAGTCAATCATTTCCTAAAACCAGCCCAGGATGCAATAGCTTTTCACATTAGTTATTCACACTCACCCTGGCTGGGTAGCTCAGTTGGTTAGAGTGTCGCCCCGATACATCAAGGTTTTGGGTTTGATCCCCGGTCAGGGCACATACAAGAATCAACCAAAGAAGGCATAAATCAATGGAACAAGTCGATGTTCTTCTCTCTCTTTCTCTCTCTCTCTCTCTCCCCACCTCCACTCTCTATAAAAAAATCAATAAATATATTTTAATTATTCACACTCTAAGATGAATCAAATGTTGTGAACAGTCGCACCCATGTTCTGCACCTAGCTTAAGACATAAAACATTATTAATTTTGCTGAAAGCCCCTCTCCCCACTGTCCTGAATTTGATGATAAATTTTATTTTTCTGGTCTGAAACCAAACATGATAAAACAAGCTAAGATAGTAGATTTGCCATAAATCTAAATATGTTTTCATAAATCTATACCAGCCTAAAATATGTCCTTTTAGTCTGAGCTTATGTTCTTTTTTGGATATTGAAATACGTTTTGTTTTATGACATGATAGTGGAAGCTCCTTACTTTTCTTGTGGGAGTTTTATACTCTGATTACCTGGCAAAATTATGTTGATTTCCACACTTTTTTCTTCAACTTCAATGTATTCCATGAAATCTAAAAGTGTGGTAATGATATGTCCTCCCTTTTTTTAAGGATTTTTTCATGTATGAATTGATGGTGATTGTAGATGGTATCTACTCTGTAGTCAGTAAACGAAGCGTTGACAATTCCCAATCTGATTCTTGCCTTCCACTCTGAAGTCTATTTTAGAATTGCTCTCTTGCCACCAGAAATTACCTTTGTAGCCCCCAGAAGGGGTAGCATACCGGAGATTTGTCCAGGAGCGTAGCTGGAATGGAGAAGTACACAGGGATTCTAAAGGAAAACATGGGATTTTCTTGGAAGGAGTGTGACTCGAGTGCTTGTGTCCGTGGAAATGGAGAAAGAGACAAACAAGCCAGCCAGCAAGCGGGGGGGGATGCATATTAGCAGTTAAGCAGGGGTCAGAGAAGGACATTTTAATCGTGCATTTTTTAGGGAAAATGGCTCAGCGTACGTATGTCAGGTTTTTTACAAAGAATTACATTATCCCGGTAAACATTTCAAACTAAATGAAAGCACCGAGTGAAAAGTAAAAATTACTCTCCCCCAGGCTTCTTCCTCTGTGAGGCCCTCGAGATAGCAAGGTCACGGCCTCTCCCGTCAGCTTCCTTAGTGTTATCTCCGGGCGCCCACAGTCGCTGGGCCAGACTTTCCCAACTACTTCATGCTGAACGTCCTTATCAAGGCTTTAATTACTCACCTAATTCTTTCCTCTTCTTAGGGAAAAGTAGGGGTGACAGCTGTTTGGTGACTTCGTTTTCACTTGGGGATCTTTCATTGGGTATAAACCTACTGCTGAGCTTCCATAACTGAGCTCCCAGCCAGGTAGGCGCTGCGGCTGCAGGTCCTCCAACTCAGCTGCAGGCCCCCCGACTCAGCTGCAGGCCCCCGACTCAGCTGCAGGCCCCCCCCAGCTCAGCTGCAGGACCCTGGCTCAGCTGCAGGCCCCCGGCTCAGCTCACGGAGGTGCTCTACCTTCATCTTCAGAGAACGCAGCAAGTGCCACACATCTGGTACCAGGCTTGCGGTCTAGTTCTTTGACTGCTAATACCTGGTCTATTTTTGGTCTCAAAATACCAGGGAGGAAACCGTCTTCCCTTGAGCGTCATTCACACCAGTAGAGCCGCCCTCTCTGTGGGGAGCAGGTTCCTGAGATGCCGAAGCTCAGCGCTTCCTTAGTGTTATCTCCGGGCGCCCACAGTCGCTGGGCCAGACTTTCCCAACTACTTCATGCTGAACGTCCTTATCAAGGCTTTAATTACCCACCTAATTCTCCTCCCAACAGTACAGTGAGGTCATAATAGTCTTTATTATTATTCCAATTAAGTACTTATTGCTACTCCAATTTAATTAAAGACATGATCAAGCGAAAACACACGCCAAACAATTGCAGAGCTGACCCAGGTCAGTGAGGGAACGCAGCTCCCGGAGGTCTTACCAGTTCGGTGGCCCTCACCCAGTGACGTCGCTGCCTTCGGGCTCGGCCTCCTCTTTCGAGAGTAACTGATGGGGATACGCTCACCCCGGTGGGAACAGCACTGACCCTCTAGGTTGCCTATTTACCAAACATTCACCGAAGGACAGACCCGCAACAGGTTTGGTTCTGTCGGAGCCTCTGGAAATGCGAGGCCCTCGAGATAGTAAGGTCACGGCCTCTCCGGTCAGCAAGCCTCGCTGCGCGCACTGGGCCTGGGCCGCCGCGGGGCTGATGCGCACGGAGACCGGAAACATCCAATGCCAACAGGGAGGAGGGGTCAGCAAGCTCTGGCATTTTCAACGTGAATAATTGCTCACGTTAGTAAGAGAGATTAGAGGGAAAAGTACCTGGCATTTCAGAGCTCCTGCAAGGGCGAGGCACACGGGAATCCTCCTGGAAGCTTTCCCAGACTCAGCCACCCCCTCCACCCCAGGTCCCCAGACCCACCACGGCCTGGCCCGGATTCTGGCGCAGTGCCTGCCGGTGGTGGACATGGGCTTGGGCAGGTCGGGTGTGAGAAGTAAAGAGAGATCAGGAGATACAAAATGCTTTTGCATAGTATTATGCAAACATAATAAAATAGCACATCTTTCATTGTAGCATCTGTGAAAAAGGCAACCACCCTACAGACGTGCTCTCCAGAACTTTCCTCTCTATTGAAACGTAGCATTAATCGGGGGACCAGGCCCTGGGCTAACTGTTGTCTCAGGGATTCCCGCGCTCAGCACTGGGTCCTGCAGACCAGCCGGGGATGCAGGGAGCAGCTCAGAAACGTGCTGCTTCTGCGTCAGGGAAAGAACAGTTAGGATGAGGCACCTGGTTCTCCCTTCACTAAACCACGTCTCTCCTTCAGTTACGCCATCTCAGCGCGTGTGCTAAATCCTGCAGGAGACAGTGCACAGCGCCCCATCATTCACGTAACCAAGTCTCTTGCCCGAGTCCCCACCCCCCGGGTGCTGGGGGACTTCTCCAGGCCGGCCTCGTTATCTGCTGCTGTAAATTAACTTCCCAAACACATGGGCCTCTTTGGTAATGCAGCCCAGATGTGAGCATTTGAAAAGTGTGGCACTGAGTGAGCAAGCATTTAAATAGGAGACTAGGGACTTGGCGTGACCTTACAGGGAAACCCCCACCCCCACCCCCGCCCCCAACCCGGGGAGGGCAAGCGGAGGTAGCTCGGGTTGGTACCACCCAGCCGCACACAAAGCCAAAAGCTGGGCATCCTCCACCCCATTCTTCTGAATACTTCCTGCTGTTTTTTCCTCTTTCTGGTCTTTCCTCTCTCCTCCCTCTTCCCCTTCTCTTTCCAAGTCACCTTTCTCTGCCCTGGGGCTGTAAGAGGTGCCCCTAAGCACAGACAACTGCGGCACTCGGCCTGAGATGCCCCATGTTAGTGGGAGTTCTGGTAGGAAAGTGGGGGGGGGCTACCTTGCTTTCGAAGGAGCTGCACACAGCATCTTTGAAAGATGGTTGGGAGCCTTTCCAGCGCCCCCTGCCTGGTTCTGGAACATTGGGCTTCTAGAAAGAGTTTAACTCAAGGAAGCATCATGACCATCGTTGGGCCGAATATTTCTTTTGTCAAGCCTCACCGAAGGGTATTTTTCCATTGATTTTTAGAGAATGGAAGGGAGGGGGAGAGACAGAGAGAGAGAAACACCGATGTGAGAGAGACACATTGATTGGTTGCCTCCTGCACATGCCCCAACCAGGGCTGGGGATGGAGCCTGCAACTGAGGTACGTGCTCTTGACCGGAATGGAACCCAGGACCCTTCAGCTTGCGGACAGATGCTCTATCCACTGAGCCAAACCGGCTAGGGGAGCCTAATTTTTTAAGAGAACAAATATATGGAATACAGCCCACCAGGTGAAGACCCTGGAGAATATGGAAGGCGCTCGCAGTGCCCCCGGGGAAGCGGAGCAGAGACCAGCAGGATGCGCCATGACTGCATCACGGAGCCTGACGGAAAGAAAGGGCACGATGTTCGCAGTGCTCATCGGGCTAGAAGGATGGTGGGAACGGCTTTCAGTCCTGCATGGGCTGCCCACTAGCAGTTTCTTACACGTGGGTGGCCGATATTGGTTTTATATTAGCTTTCATATTTTTAATTAGCTGCTGTTACTCTGTGACTTGCTTTTTTTTAAAATATATTTTATTAATTTTTTACAGAGAGGAAGGGAGAGAGATAGAGAGTTAGAAACATCGATGAGAGAGAAACATCAACCAGCTGCCTCCTGCACACCCCCCACTAGGGATGTGCCCGCAACCCAGGTACATGCCCTTGACCGGA